TCAATTAATGATTAGTAGATATGATTAATTAATTTTAATTAATTTTGATTAATGTTAAGTTAATTATTTAATTAAGTTAATTATCTTGATTAATTAATTTTAATTTTCAATTAACTTCAATCTTGGTCAAAGTCAAAGTTTTCTTTTATTTTATCTCAATTTCACCCACAAGTTTTATGATTAAGCAATTCAGTCCCAAAGTTTCAAATCTTTTTAAATCCGTCCTTTATGTTTTCAAATTTAATCAAATTAGTCCCTTTAATGTTATTTGTGCTTATGATGCATGCTTGTCTTTGATTTTGTCCATTTTAGCCCAAAAATTAAAAAATGTTTCAATTTGGTTTACCCTTCTTTCAAGCTTGCTTATTAAGACTTAAATACAAACATAATGAATAAGTTGAATCAAACCCCAATTTTAAAGTATGCAACCATGTTTAAACGGAGGATTGTGAGGTGCGCGTATGCCCTTCTTCATTCCTAACTGAACCCCCGAACCCTAATCTCTATGTAGACCCATTTTAGGTGATTTGTCTTACCTTATAATTTGGATGAGTGGCGACTCCCTTTTCTTTTATATTTTCACTTAATTTTGATTTTTCATCTGTTTTTGAAAAAAACCCTTAAGTGGTTGTCAACAAATTTAGGCTTAGCACTGCTTGTCCAAAATGATAGAATTTTTCAACAGTTTAAAATGAAAGATTAAAAATTGGAAACTATCTAAAGAAGTAGTAGCTAAGAAAATAACCTACAATTACAATCAAAATTTTCTTATCTGAAAGAACTTATTGAAGGAGTAAATCATCAGAGCTACACCTCGGGTTTATAATAATAAATGTTTCTTATAAGCATGCTATTTTTCAGCGTGTATGGAAGTCTAGACTGAAGTCAACAAAAAAATAATATCCTTTCATCAATACACCCTAACTCAAGGGTATTAAGGCTATTTTTGACATTTCCACGCTAGACTGGAAAAACCTTTTCTGTTTACTATCAATAATATAGGAGCTTTGAAACTCTACCTTAGCTTCCAAATCCAAAAGCTTCCTGTATACTTCTTCAGATCTGAATGCTGGAGTGTTGAATGCAAAAGTCCTGAAAAGATGGCTAACATACAAGTAAAAAAATTTAAGGGTCACATTGAAAATCAATACTTCAGTAGCACATGAGAGACCTTGGAATAGATCAAAAAAGAATACAAGCCCTCAAATTGGGCCAAGGAAGACAGGTTTTGGGCAGGAAAGGACATTTGAAAGAGTAAATCATGCTATCCATCTTAGGCTCTTAGCTTAGAAAACTTTTATTAAAAGAAAAGCTTCTAAATTCAACCGTATTCTTTGAACCTATTCCCTTCACTTGGGGTCATACAACTAATTATAGGAGCAGAAACATCAAGCCTCAAAGGAGCTCAGTTACTACTTGCAAAATGCAACTACACACAAAAATAAATCACATGTAGAATATATATCTTACTTCGTCTGCTTAGTCTCCTTTTCTTTCAACCAAGTTTTGAACTTGTCTTTATCACCCAAGAGTTTGAAAAGAAGAAAATTAATAAAATTATTAGCATAAGCATCTTCTGACACGTTTTTTGCATACTCAAGATAATATCAGGAAGGGTAGAGTTAATTTAAACATGAAGAAGAACCTCATCAACTCTTTCGTTTGGAAGCCAAGGTTTATTGTCCTCCCAGCCTTGAATAACCTGCAAGATTCCCAGAAAAGAAAGATTAATTTTACATGAAAAAAGATATTTATATGTTAAAAAGCTACAAACTGAATGGAATTGAATTCCTTTGGGAGAGGGATAGACAGACTGTTGAATTACAATCTCACCGGAGGCATAGATTTGCAAAGGATATGATAGAGATAAGAATAAGATCAGCTATCAAAATAAATTGAATCATGAGAGTATCACAAAAGTGAATCTAAATAATCTACTTTAGTTTCTCCATATATATACACGACATTGAGTATGGTCAATTTACAAATTCGGTTGCCATATATAGAAAATTTTATTTTATGGTTGGAGATGAATTGTTTTAGCTTTAGCACACGTAGAATCTGTAGAGGATGATGGTTATTTACTATGTCAATCTTGCTTCATTTAAAACTACATTTTTTCTTCCCTTCATTATGAATGGTTGTAATCTGATTAGTATGGGAAGATAAAATCAATATATTATTGAAACATGAATATGTTACTTCAACAAATTTATGCAGTTAATATGTAAGCCTTCCAAACTAAACACTACACACCTGCTGTAGTTGACCAAGGTATCTTTGGGAGTATTCCACTGTCGTTGGCCGTTCAGTTAGTTCTTTATATCTAAACAAGAATAGAAAAATTA